TATATATATATATATATATATATATATATATATATATATATATATATATATGTATCGTATACATATATATGGCGAACCAGTAGAGAATATAGACGAATGAGCTCGCTGTACTTGGCGGAGATATAAATATATATGCAAATGCACACAGCTCACATATATATATATATATATATATATATATATATATATATATATATATATATATATATATGCTCACGTGCGTATTCTGCGTACGCGCGGCCAGTTTGTCGCGTATCCTTCTCTCTTTCCGCACGTTGCAACCGCCCGTTTCCGTAGTCCGACGACGATGGCCTATTCCCAATTCTTGCAACGTTGTTCGCGGTTTCCGCGTCGGGTTTCGCGAAAAAATATTGAACCTTGTCACGTCTACTTCCAAAATCGAATCGCCCTTCACGGCAGATCCGATTCACACACGGAGAGAATATCATTGTCTTTTTTTATATAAATTTTTTCAATTTTTCTATATTTTTAGTAATCCAAGAATAGACTGTCAGTAAACTCTGTCTTGCTAAGAAACATAGCTAATTTCGCTGGAAATATACGGAGTGCTTTAAGGATCCTGGGTACTCGCATACCCATCTTTTTTTACTGACGTCAGAAGCGAGAAAACGCGTGCTGAAAGTTCTTGCAAAATACGTTGAAATAAAAAGATATCACAAAATGATACTTGCACGATTTAACACAACTCTAATGTATTCATATTTTATCTGAAGTATTTTAGAAATATGCTTAATCGATCGCAAATGCCATTTTGTAGTTATATCTTTTCATCTTGACGTATTTCGCAAGAATTTTTATGCGTTTTCTCGCTTCTGACGTCATTAAAAAGAGATGGACGATGCAAATACCCAGTAGTCTTGATAATATATTTCTGTTCTTGAAATAGCATTTTTGGAATAAAAGGGCAGTAAATTACTATAAAATATGTATATCTATTCCTCAATTACAGAGTCTTATATAACAATTTTTACTATAAAATTCTATCTCCGTGTATGCAGGTAATCATATTCCGCTTGACTCTTGTAGCTTTTCACAGAAGTCCGCGTCGTTACCACATCTCCGAAGCGTTTCTTTATCGGGAGATGTTTTCGGCAATGCCACTCGCCGGATTGCAACGCGAAACGCATCACGAAGATACCCGGCGTAAGTGACGCAATTATCGATATCGGAAAACAAAGTTAAGGAGAACTGGTCGTTTGAACATCGAAGCAAATATCGTCGGTTTAATAGCCGAGAGGCAGAAGAAGTGTCGCAGAGTGAAACGAGAGAGAGTTCTTGTGTGACGAGTGCAAACTGATCAGCAAGAGAATCGTAGACGAGAACTCGAGAGAGGAGGAGTTATCCCGAGAAGTTGTCCCGGTAGTCGCGGCGGCGCCG